TTTGGAATCCTGGAATTCTGGAATTCTGCTTTAAGTGACTAACTAATATAATAAGTAATGGATATTTTCTACTCTGAAGTGGCAAAGGTATAACCTTAGTAAGGATCTACAAAGCACTTTGTCCTGTCTTAGCATCAGACATATTGTTTCATGTTAAGTGCATGCATGCTGAGTGAAGTACAAGTGTACCGCAGATATCTATTACCTCTCACAGAGATCACAGTACTCCCCCAGACAATGCCTTCTTCTGCTTTTCTCCCAATGGGTATGGCACCATCTTTATTCAGACATCATCCAGGGGCACCATGACTGGGAAGCTGGCTCAGAGGTGACACAGTCATGTAAATACTGGTGTCTGTGCCATTTCTGTTACAAAATGTATGACACTGCTTTTACTATGTGTGGAATGCATGGCAGCATTGCCTGAGGCAGGCAGCGACATGATGAATGGGTTGGTGAGGTACATACTTTCCCATCCAACAAAAATCTACAGTGTGACTCACCCTACTTTGGCTGCCAGTTATGACAACAAGGAGCTGCTGTCAATCAAAATGAGCAGGGCTGCGCAGGGGGCCATGTCAACCAGGCTGATTATGGGGCTACAGGCACACTGTGCATATATACGTGATGTACTGTAGCTCCAATTAAGTGATCAGGGATGCAAACTGAGCACACCAGCATGGATTTCCTTCCGTACTTGATGTGGTCAGAATGCTAGAGGAACACAAGCTGACCGGCAGGATCACCAGGTATTTGCTCATAATTCAGACTTAGATAAAGTAAACATACATACCAAGAGTTACTATGAGCAGATACATGTATTTAGGGAATTTCATTATTGAGGTCTATAGATACTTATTGTAGTGTACTGTACATTGGGCTACTCTGTTAAGGTGAGACAATGGAGCAGATCCTGCTTTTAACCCCTTCGTGACACAGTTTCAGAAAATGTTTTCACCCCTGGGGACCAAAGCAATTTTGCCATTTTTGCTATGTGTTTTTTTAACCATAATTCCCATCTTCCTCATTCATTGCACCTACAAATATTATATACCATTTTTAAAGGACAAAATGGGCTTTAATTTGATGTGACATACAGTATGCATACAGTATATAAAGTCTTATTTTTATATAACAAATACAAAAAAATGCAAAAAAAAATAAAAATGTCTCCGTTTTAGCAATAATAAGGTGTACATAGTTAATGTAGATAACAAAAAGTAATTCATAATAAATTATTTTATTTGTCCTGATTTATAGGGTATATCATACGTCTGGAATTTCAGTTTATTTTGGGAGTTATAGGAGTGAAATACAATTTTAGTGTGGAACAATTTTAGAATGTGGTATGTTTGTCTCCTAACTCTAATAGCCTCATCGACACTATATTTTTAAATAATTTTTTTAATAAACTTTTTTTTTTACTTTTTTGACTTTTTCAAAACTTTTTTTTTTAACATTTTTAAAACTTGTAACTGAAAGACCTGTTAAAATTTTTTTTTTAAACTAGGGGGCACTAAAAGGTAACTTGTTTTGATTCAAGGAGCTTTGATACTTAGTATCTCTGAGTAGACACTGTATTCTCCTCAGCGATCCTTTGTATCCCTTTAAAGCACA